CTTTGAACTTATCTTAATAGCGGACAACAATGTCCCCTAATGTAGGCCCACGCGAAACTAACCTTTTGACTCGTATTCACGCACAATGCGGATCAAAACAAGATGCGCACTACAAGGTGGTCCTTTAAGGCAGTCCCATATATGCGTGCCTAACAATGGGAACTTTTAAATTCCTGATCACCGAAGTAACGCGGACTTCATCAAACTTCAGAAATACTTTGTACACTTCCGATTTCATTTTGGAATATAGGACATCAGGCAATTCACACCGACTGACACAGCAAAGTCAAAATCGTTATTACCTGTAGATATTTCAACTGAAGGNAACTGGGTTATTTGTCGGACGAAGAATGAATAAACGCATTATTCAGTTTTTCAATATCGATAGAGGGACTGGAAATCACTTTCTTCTGCCTGCAGAGAAGATTGATTCCACGCCACATAGATTTACAGTTCCTCGTCCTAGAAAACTGACTTGCATAAAGGGCGTCCAACCGTCCTATTTCACTCTTGATCAGGGACGATAATCGTTGCATTTCGGCCCTCCTGCCACATTTAAATGCGCGTTCCTTTTCACGGCGAAGACGTTTAAGAAAAGGGGTTGATATTCTGCCATGTTGAAGGAACAAAGTTATCACAGGACAGCCTATCACATCTAGGAACTTTGACAGTCAATCTATGCAGTAATACAGTGCAGTGAATACAAAAACTCAACTCGAGGTATCTAATGCAGTAAGTACTACTACCACTTCTACTACTACTTGGTTCAATTCAATGCAGAGCATTGATATAACTAAGTATTCCACAATTAAATATAAATAACATCAGTCACAAAAGTCGGTTATACAGAAAGTAGCATGTTTGGTTACCACTGATTAGTTAACTCCCGGGTGGCGTCATCGCGTAGTTTACATTGAGAACAGGCATCATTGGTTTCAGTTATGTATTTGATAGCTGCTTACCGATTGCATGCAAATTCCGGAAACACGGCTCATTCTTGTGTTGCCAGAGCTAAGCGAAATAAAACCATCTTTCATTCGACTGGATAAAATTGCAGGAAAACATTATAAAAGGTGATCACACTGCTGAATAAAACTCGCCATCAATTACTGGTCGTAGGAAACTTACTAAACCCTATCGTTTAAATGAAACAATTCCAAAATGGTGGTACATAGTTAGCATAGATCATGATAAACGAAAAATAAGTTCAAATACGACACCTAGTTGCATCACAGGAATGACTCTGATCCCATAAGGTAGTAGACATCAAAGGAAGACGGTGAACTGCTCAAAGTAGAATAGATTTATACCACTCTGGGGTTGCGAGTCCATTTTGTTAATTCTTTTAATTGGTTGAAGTTCACTCGTTCACCGAGTTTGCCAATTGTATTGCAGTACAGTTGCCAAGCTCGGCGGACAACTGAAAGTCAAGTTATAGTACCAGAGCTACAAAAACAACAGTCAACATCGTTGTTTACATAACTATCATTTTAATTGGCACTTATGTTATGAAATCATTTCAAAATATTGATAAATTTCAATCGAGTGGCAGATGAAACGGTTATCTGACTAGACACCTTGTCGCTTCTTGCTACATTGCCCAAACTGAAGAAGTGCACTTTGGACGAATCTTACGTGGCTTCTCCAAATTCTTACGTTTTCTCGATTATTTACAGATTGCAATATTGATTCTTTTCATCTGAGTTTTCTTAGGTTATGAACTCTAGGGGTCCCGGAACCATCCAGTGCATACGATACAATGTGGAATTTAAGTTGTTTGGGGACTAGTTCTTCCTGTTTCCTGCGTGAGTGGTATATTCAGCAGTATGAATTCAAACAATAATGACAATCCTATTGATAAGATATTCTATTCACTGACAAATGTGATGTTTATTCTTTACACCCCTGAGTAAAGCATCCACTGAAGGAGTGAACTCGTTAGCCATGGTGACATACGGTTCGGTGCTGAACACTTGCAGCCTGCACTCAGAAGCGAAGTCGAAAGCAACTTTGCGCCACATTTGTAACAAAGCAATCGGAAAGCGAATGGAAAAAACCTATGGCAAAGACGCAAGGTGGCACTCACCAGAAACGAAAAAGGCAAAATACAGGTAGTTGTTTGACATTGAATGGAGCTTGAACGTCGTCATTTGAAGACTGAGTATTCAAATTTAATTTGTACAAAATTGAAACGGAAAACTGGAATCGCTAACAAATCAACGGTACAGAGTGCGGTGTTCCCGTCTGTCCGGGTGTAAAACCTCACGTGTGAAAGTGTCCTTCTGTGACCTCTGATGAGTAAAGTCAATTGAACTAAGCTTTAATTTATATGTAGACCGAATCTATTGTTACCGAAATTATATGTTTATTTACTGTGTTTCATTCCATTCGTTAAAAAGTTTATCCATTCTAACATTTACTCTGTCCCTATTCTCTAAAGGCATAAAGACGATGTAAAAGGACGTTGGAAATGAAGTAAACTAATTGATTTTCATTTGAACAGATCATCTTTAAGATTTAATCATCAGTTCACAGTTCTCAGTTCGTCCAGTCAGCCACAATCTCCGGAAGCACTGGACATAATTTTCCTTCTAACTGGAACCTAACAGTAGCGCATATTCTTCGACACGCCAGGGCTCAGAAGTACTGATCCAGCGTGTGAAAAGTGAGTGCGGTACCGCTGTGTCAACCAGCCTACACCGAGGTTGAATATAATTAGTTAATCATGTTAATTCAGATCCTGTCTTCAGACGTAGTCAATCAGTTCATTGTTGGCCCCTGAGTAACGAAGCGAGACATGGTATACCATCGGCTGAATCCGATTGGAAGCTTCCTATAAAATGATGTCTTTCTTGTAAATTTGCTTACGATGACTGAATGAAACCTGCAAATTGAGGTTTCTACTTCTTATTTAATTTAGATTTAGTTCTTCCTAGCAATATGGTATAGTAGTGCATGTGGAGTGCATGGCTGACTGATTACCATGAGAGTGCGGTCTAAGGGATGTTCAGTCCAAATCAAAACTATTTTTCCTGCACTTACTAACACAAATAATTATCAGCCAAGCCCAAACTAATTGATTGATCGAACCCTCTATTTGGCTATCTGAAACACTGAGCCTCCTCTATCCATCGTATCAAGACCGAAAGAAAACATACGTCGCGAAATGTTAACATTTCGTTTAATCTTCCCAAGCAAACAAACAAGCACATTTATAGCAGATTGGATTTGTAAATCCTAATGAACGGAAATACACAGTTGGACAGGGGCTATTATAATTTAAAAAAATAGGTCAACTTCACGGCAAATGAACCGATTGGATCAGTAATTTTCGGGTGCACAGAACGGGATTATGTAATCTGATCAGCAACGCCTCACTTATTGCCAACAGTTCTGCATTATAGTTACGTAACAACGGCTCTAAAGAGGAAGCGGGATCAATTATGTGTTTGGTTCTCATGAGGAGTTTGCAATTGATGACCCTGGGTTACGTGTGACCGCCCGAATACTGCGTGTGGGTTGCCTCATCGGCCTCACCAACCGCTTGGGAAAGTGTTCGGTCATCCGCTGTGATAAATGACGGTTGTTTCTGCCTATGTATGCGTCCCCGCAACTGCAGGTGAACTGGTATACAGTGTGTGAGAAAAATTGGATTCCAAGGATGTATACGTTTGTCTAAATTGATTCCACGAGTAGAGGCAATAAGTCGGAGTTCAGCAGCTGGGAATGTGCGGTTGAGAGCTGACTTTAACTTTTGGCGCACATCGTTCAGGTGGTTGTCCTTAAAAGATAATTTGATGTAAACTGCTTTCTGGAGAACAGATGGCGAAGGGTTACCTTTTTGAAATTTTTTATTATGAAAATCAATGAATCTTTCGGGATAACCGTTTCGCAGTAAAGTTTTCTTCAGGATTTCTTCTTGTCCCTGTAGTGTGTTTGGGGAACAAATGCTTCAGGCTCGTTGGAACAGAGATTTATGACTCCACATTTGTAAGCCATGCGTGAGAATCTAGTGAACTGTAGATATCGACCAGTCTATGTTAGTTTTTCTGTGGATAGAACGCTTCAGTGAATCATTTTGAACCCCTTTTGAGACAATTTAACTCTGCTCATCTACATCTCTCCGTATCCTATGAAGAAAAAAACAAGGATTCGTTAGTATTTTTGGATATTATAATTTCGAGGCGCTTAGATGGTACATCACAGCGTTCTATCCACAGCAAAGCAACATAGATCGGTCCATAACTACAGTTCTCTAGCTTTTCAACCATGGCTCAAGCGCAGCAAAGGCCGGAATATCAATTAATTCTGAAATTCGAGATAATAACAACGCGTTGAATAAAATTTCGTTACGACCATCTGATTAGAGAATGACAGCACCTTTCGTGATTAAGTTTACTCAACGAGATGTCACGTGCGAAGATACGAATAAAAGTCCTGATCTCGTATCCTTGCTGAAAATCTTGGGTCTAAATCTCGGATAAAGTAATATCATTCATATACATAATTGTATTGCTGTCTACTTTTGAGCCGATATTGGGCCATACTGTAGTGCCTTACGGATTGTTGCTATATGTTGATCCAGTCGGCTACTGTGTGAATTACCGGCATAAAGTGAATTGTCAGTTACATCAGGTTGCAGGAGTATAAACTGTGCGTACCGATCGGACGAAACGGCTATCTGTGTAGGTTATTGAATCTATGAGCACAAAATATTTAGTACCATTTAGAACGTGCTCGTGCAGGATTTTGCTGGCATACGACCCGCGATCGAAGAACCTACAGTTTGCTATGTTTGAGTGATTCATGAGCTGCAATTTAACTAGTTGATGGGAAGTGATCGGCGTTATATTTGTTTCAATCATTGATTTTCTCTGTGAGCTTTATATATATATTACATGTTCATTCGTCAACGCTTTGGCAGCATGCAGAATTACACGATTTACTGCGTCTTCTTTCTTGACGGTTTAAACCCTTTTGTATGTTTCATGTTGGAGTGCTCGACAAAACAAATATATTACGGAGGGTGTTCTATTCCATCAACAGGAACCATGTATACACATACTTGGGGACAAACATGGTTCCAACTCTACGACAATATTAGTAGAAAGCGTTGGCGTTGGGATCCAGATGGAAAACAAACAATCGCAGACAATCTAAACAACTCGGACAACAACTATGTGATAGCGAAAATCAAGACGGAGCGCAAACCAAATTGCTGAAAAACAAAAGTTTGAGTTACATGATCGAAGCAATTATTAGGAAAGTGCTAGTGATTGAAAGCACATCACATTGGTGTTTTATGTGCAACATTCCCAAATTTAAACAGCATGTGTGAAGGGCCCGTATCTTTTCATATCTTACAATTGAGATTCGAACCCGCCTGCTGGTAGTCAATTATGCCTCAGTAAAAATTACGTCCATTCAACTGAGCAAAGCTGACACGTTTACACATTTGGTATTCTCTACAGATCAGATCAACATAAACAACTTATCTATATTGTGGCACTGACTGTTTGTTAATGAAGCGAACTCACTACTTAGCTAAGTTGCATCAAAATTGGATGTCACTGCAGCGGATCAACCTCCATATTGACTTCATCATCGGAATCCAGGATCAATCGATTCAACTATTTCAAATTCACAGTCAAACCATAAATAAACAGGTGAAATACAGTGCAATAAATGAATAACGTTTAAAGGAATTGGACGAGGCAGGACAAACTTGGATACTATAGTTGTCGTCTCCCACAAATAACGAAAAGTGTTCATTTTATAAAGCATTATATGACATGTGTGCATTTATTTTCATAGTTGACTTCACATGTATTATTATCTGAATCATAGAGGGGTAGACTAGTTTGGGGATAAAGTAAGCAGTAGTTCGCGGATGGATCAGCACGTACGATATAGCAGAACTGCCCGATCACCAAGTTTGAAGTCCACGAAATGATCAACTTCGTGTGACACAAAGCTGCCCAAATCACGTTGAGGATGTCAAGCGGTGATGCAGCGATTTATTGTTCCGTGCAAGAGTGAGTTGAAAGGAGGTGGGGGAGGGGTGAGGGAGGGGGAAGACAAATCAATTAAAACAATGTAATAAGTATCTGATAGTCTTTAGCTTTAAATAATCACCGGAAAAAACCTGTGCCTCAGAAACCACCTACCTGCCATAATCTCGACCAACGATACAGTGCCATGTTTCGTTGTACTTTTTATCAAATTCCCGTTTGATGTAGGTGGCCACATCCCGATTTTGCTGGAATTTCTCCATTGCCTCGACTGCGGTAACCACGGCCTCTTCTAGCATTTCCTCGCTCATTGTGCATCCCTGTACAATAGCATTGGTCTCTGTCATGGTGTGTTACGGTTCAGGGAGAATTAAATGAAATCCGGTCCTAGTTGATCCTGAAGGAATTATCACAAACAGCCACTGATCCCTCAAAAGACAGGTTATTCAGTTTTGCAACTTTCAAACACAATGATTGTTGATCACCTTACGGTTGAGTGTGCAAGCGTGATTGTTACATTACATATATGCACACTGGTGTGTATTCTTTGCCAAAAAGCTAAATCACGGGACCAACACGACACTGGTTCACACTAAGCCTCGTTCTGAGTAAGCAATCTTAAACTAAATTGGTCTATTTACTGGATCGTTTGCTTTCATGTTGCTCAGTGTGTGGTATAAAACTGTGCTAGTGACAAGTACGATCTTAGTGTGTACCGTTGCGAATCACCATTCAATTTCCAACTGCTGTGATTGCTTCTTTGTGTGTATTTGTATGCACATGAGGCCATAAGCATGGGGAATGTCTTTATGCATGCATGAGTAGTATATATTCCTGATTTTCGAGGTAGTAGCTATCTTTGAGTAAGGTGTTAATTTGGCCGTTTGACTACGGAGAACACCATCGACATCATCACACAAGGGAGGTACGTGTTTGGAACAGATGTATGCCAAGCTAAATTTTGAGATCATCGACGGCATAAAGTAGACTCTTCAGCATCGATAAAATCCAGTCAATTATGGGTCTTAGGCACCCGAAATGTTGAATGTTCAGTGGCTGCAGAACCAATTAAGCAACTACAAGTAGACGAACATTGTGAAATATTAGGAACAAACCAAACGTAGTTCATATGAATGGGTTAATTTAATAATCGATATTTTATTGATTATTGAGTAAACGGGTATGATAAGACATCGCAAAAGACCGGTCGGATGCACTTTAAAAGATCTGCCTATGATGAATACGAAGGATTGCTCATTATTTTTGAGGATTACGAGGAGCATGAGTTTGTATTTTGAGAAACGAAAATGTGACAGATAATTTCGCTAAATATCTCGTTACCTCTGGATAGGTGTGCTAAGGGTCCGAAGTGGAAGCTTCAAATCGTTCTTGAGCATCCCTGAGAGATTCACGGTACTCCGTAAAACGAAAGGGGCAAAATACACCTGAAAGGAAAACCACAAATCAGGAATCGAGAGGTGCATACATTTTCAAGCATAGAACTGCATGCGACTCCTATTCTCCTTAGATCCCCGTAGATGATTCAAAACGTCCCTGTCGCAAGAACCACATAATTTGATTCTACTACGTGTGAAAGAATCAAGCTGTTGATACTCCTATTCACCCCACTACTCAACCAAGCTTGATGGTACTAGCGGACACAAATTGACATAAATTGTAATGTATTCACATGTAGATGAATCAACGCAAACAAGCTTGTATGCTACTGTGTTAACAATATTTCAGATAATCAGTCACTGTACCCATATAAGGGGAAAACTTGTTAAATGCATGCCAATAACGTGGTCCTAAATATGGGTCAAACGTATGGACTACATATGGACGGTGAATTCCTTACCTGTGAACCAACTTCAACGTTATGAGTTCCAGTTGGTACTTATCGACTTAATCGCGAGGAGATTCTATGGTCTATGGATAACTCCTGTTTTCACCATCTTCACAGAAAACTAATCATTGAAACAATTCTTTTTTATTCAACTGATCTACGGAGCATCAAGGGCAGAGATTCTGTCCTAGTTAGTTCTGTTGGTCATAATCGTTCTTATTATCGCAAATAAAAAGTAATTTAAGATTAACTTTGAAGAAATAAGGAAAACATTTCTTTGGGAAATGAGAACTCGAATCACTGTAGTAAGAAAACGTTTCAGTCGAACAAAATCAAGTGATAAAGTAGATTGAAAATTTGCTCATCTCCTCGCCTAACGTCTTGCCTAAAACCAAATAGTCTCCAAATATTCATTCAAACATTCCTTAAAGGATATTTATTTCGAAGTAAATAAATGTCAGGAAAACGACGGAAGTTTCTTCAAGAGAGAGGAAGGTTTACGAAGAAAGTAAAAAAATATCCAACGCGCACCCAGTGAAAACTAGGTTCATCTTCGAGAAGCAAAATCCGTTAAAAATATCATATCATTACATACTGCAGGAAAACCAAATAAACAGATTCACGTGCACCTTCATTTGACCACTGGTCATAAGCAATGTGTTGTGGTTAAGTAGGTTTGTTTTATTCTGTAAGTTGAGAGTGTGTAAAAATTTTGGCACTGCAGTGGTCTGGGCGCGTCTGGGTGTTTGATTAGGGTTCGTGTAGGCGTAAACATTTTTTTCTACATGAAGTTTAGTATTACTGAAAAGCTGATGATCCATGTGTGGGATTATTTAAAGTGAAAATTGAATTTTCAAAACTGAAAATCAAATCATGGTGTTTTCATATGTATTAGACTGGCAAATGCGGAGGCAGTGTTTGTGAGGCCGTGTCACTGTTTATGTCTTTTCGCTGCCCATGATGATGAATGAGTCAGTTTGATGATTTTTCAGGTTAGCTGTTACCGTACTGCTTTCAAATAATTCACACTATCACGATGTACAGTGCGATTGCTCCATCGTTTTCAGTCGTTTTGTCCCTCTCATCCGTGCCCTTAAGCAAGCAAATTCCCTCTGACCCCTAATGCGATCTGATTGGATCATATTCAGCTATCTATGGCGCTTAAAATCTCTCACCCCAACACGAGACTCTCTGATTACCGGCTTGTACATTTTGTAATGCTCTTGTTGTTATGCCAATCCATCCGAGTGCTGATGGCACGCCTGCTACACAGTCGAAGTTCACTGGGCCTGCCTGAGACTTACAGCTGTAAAAAAGGTGTGGTTTCTCGCTCGGGTTAGCTGGGCAAGCACCAGGTCCAGATATTCAGCGTAAAGTATCGGAAACCAATATGAACAGTTATTTTACATCGGATCGGAACATCGGCCGAGGGCATTATTGCATTATTTAGCCACATGTGAAATTGATATGACCGCCTGTTGACTGTTTGATGGTTGCTCCAGAGAAGCGTATACGTATTAGCTCATATTCGAGAAGAATCCCTTAATTTATTGCCAGGTTCCTATATGTTCCTCGTTAGGAGCTCTCATCAGAGAAAATCAACCGATTTCAGTGTCTGAGAAGCAATATCATTACAATTGTTATCCCACTCTCAGATTTTAAGCTTATCAATTAGAGATTATCAACCCAATCCGGATTTGTGAAACTGGAATCTCAATTTGCTGTAAGACGAACCATGGTATGTAGTATGTGTGTCAGACTGAAAACAGCAAAATAGTGTAAAATACAATAATATTCACATTAGAGTGTGCTGGGACAAAATCTACCACTATAAAATATAGTTAGGGTATTTATAAACAAAGTATTGTCTGGATATTATAAACTCCATTCCACATAAGCATTATCGGCTTCTGTGATTAAACCCTTGCTCAGTCAAGCCTTCATACCTGAACACACTCCGTTTCAATTTGGGTCGTCCGCTTATGAACCATTCTAATATCCACCATAGATACTGATCATAAAGTGACCACGTTTTGTGAAATTCCAGAGCCCATAGAGGAATGCGAGGAAATACGTTATTTATTTTGCGGCGTGGGGTGGCATGACACATTCGTTCTATTAGAGGGACTACAGGAACTTCATAACAGTAAAAGTATACTTGACTCTAAATTGTCAAACTGCATACTTTCCAAATGGAGTTCATCCCGTATTCCAAGAGTGAGTTTTTTTTCTTCCTAAAGCATTTAATTCAATACGAGAAGAAAACATTGGAGTATCATATTGCAGAGTAATCTGTTTAGGTAATTCGTCGGTATTCAACCCCATTCAAATCAAATCCTAGAATATTATTGAGTTTAGTGTGACTGCAGGTGACATTTAGGTTAACAGGATGATGAATAGTTATCATTTGAATATGTGTAATAATATTATTATTATATTTCAAATAAAATACAGAGTGATTGACAAACTCACTTTCAATCGTTCCTAGTTTTGCCAATATATCACAATGAATAATGCGTTGTTTAGATATGTAGCAGTACTAAACCATAAAAAACGAACAATTATTTTTTGAAAGGAAAAATTAATGTTATAGGTTATTTTGGGCTAAGATCGTCCTCTAGCGGATTGTGGGATTCGCAATGATCATATAGGAATTTGTCCGCACAACTCTCCTTCTTAAGCCCAAAACAATCTGCGGAAGCGCTCCAGCTCCCCATCCCCACACCAAGCGCCATACCTCAAGTAGTTCTTATAATCGGATGACCTGGCAATTATGTGATCACTGAGAATCCCATACCCCCCTCCGAAGACAAAGATAGCCCTCATTAACCAGTGTTGTTAATTTTCTCTTTCGAAAATCAACTGTTTCGTTTTC